TATAACTTTATATTATTCTTATAATATATATTAACTCTGTTATAACTCTATATTAGTATTACTAATATACTTTATATAAGTTAGTATAAGCTATTTTATATTAATATAATATAGTATATAGTATAATATAGATATAAGTTATTATATAATAGATGTAATAGATGTAATAGATGTTAATTAACTTACCGGTGCCAATACTCTGTGAATTTCTTGAAGCGTTGATTGCAACGATGTTACTGAACATAACGATCTTGTGGTCACAACTACGTCTATATATCCAGTAGGTATTTCTTTCAAAGAACTACCATCTCCAATTATTAGATATTCAATAATGATATGAGAAAATTGCCAAGAACGATTACTTTTTATTAAATATTCAGCTAATTTCAGATTTCGATCAACACCAATTAAGTGTGTATTTTCTGGATAAAATTGTATATTTTCACCTGAAAGATTTAAATTTGATCTATGTATTTATGTATATGTAGGATTATAATTTTATCAAATTCGTAATATACATATAAATATAATACGTTAATTTTATAGAAGTAACATAAAATAATGTCATGTAATTTAACATTATTTCTTTGATTGATTCAGAGTAAAAGACAAATATTTTTATATTTATTGTACTCTATATGTACTCTCAATGTCTTCCTTAAAAATTTAAAAGTTTATATCGTGTATTAGTAAAGTTTAAAAAAATTAGTAAAGTTAATTTTTATATAATTTAAAAAATTTAAATTACAAAAGTAAAAAAAAAAAAATAATAATAACTATTTCGGAAAGACGTTACTATATCTGTTTCTATTATTAATATACATACGTGCAATGCACACCCGTTTTAACGCCAATCTCAAGAAGACGTATGCAGTTCATGGATTTTAATACTTTGTCACTCGAAATAACGTGTTGTAATGATTTGAATAAATGTTTCTTGTAAGATGTCATGAGTTCTGCGCACTCCACTTCAAATCCCGTTAAATAAGCTTTGTAAATACGTTTTTGCAAATTCAACCATTTTCGCGATATTAAAATTCCAATAAGAATGACGACAAGTAATAACAATCCATAATTCGTAATTACATCGCGGATCCATAAATCGTTATTACTCATTTTTCTTTATGAAAATTCTTAAAATTTCTCGTAATCTTTATTTTGAATGAGCAATTAATAAATGAATAGAATATCAATTTTTTACCCTTTAATTATTAGTTTCGTATTCATTTAAAAAAATCTTACTTATATTGATGTGTTTTGTAAATAAGTATACTTTAAAATGACGAATGTTCAATGAAATGAAATAAATCTGGTTGTAATATCACTCGTGATAAGATAAGTATTAGAAGTAGTATATTTTTCTGAACGAATAATTTTACATTATATATATTACATAATATTACATCTACGAAATAAGTACTATTTTAAAAAACATAAGCAAATATTTGTTAAAGTTTATCAATCAATTAATATTAAAATTTATAATTTTATTAAAAAATCATCGTATAAATTTTATTTTAAAACTCAATAGTGATGATTCGATAAATTTGAAAATGTGTGGTATTGACCATATGGTTTACCGTAAAAAAAAAAAAAAAAGAAAAAAAATAAATATAAGAGAAAAGAAAGAAAGAAAAAGAAAGAAAATATTTTACGGAAGAAAATACGATTCGGTTGGTATATAGAGGAAGAGAGAAAACAATGGTCTCACGTTTTCGAAATGCGAGAAAGAGCGTACAAGTTAACAAAGGGGAAACAGCCAGCGGGCAAAAAGAAAAACGCTCGAAACGAACATATCGGCGCAAGGGGAGCCATGATTCTTTGTCACTCGAGTTTTTAAGAGTGACCACAAACAAAACGGAGTTCGATCAATTTAGTCCCTCGACCGAGTGAGTGCATTCGTTTGCCTCTTGCTCGTGCTCTTACGCGTATATACACGAACCATACATCCATATTTTCATTTCACATGCACGAAACTCGAAATTTGCTCGATTCAGAAGCATTTCGCAGTTCCAGAGAGGCGTTTTGTTGTTAGCATTGGGGCGGAGAGGAGGCCGACCGTTTTCGTAATGGCTCGTTGATTCGAGAGAATCGTCATAAAAAAATCATACATGCAATTTTCTTTCTTCATTCTTAGTTGTTTTTATCCTCTGTTTTCTATGTACTTGTCGTATTTTGCAATGTTTCTAAATATGGTTCTAAATAAGTTTTTTTTTTTTTTTAGTTGTATTTCATACTCAATTTCCATAAATCTATTGTGTTTTATATTATTTCAATTTCATATAAAAAATTTATATATATATATATGTGTATATGTGTACATTCTATCCCTCGAAAGTTTAGAAATTCGTTTAATTTTCGATTCATGAAGAAAAGAATGAAAATAAAAAATGATCTAGTATTATATAATATTTTTTAATTTTTGAAGACATAAATATTTAAAAGATACATGTTTTACATGTTAAGAT